TTTTAATACGTTATTTTTTTTTTCTTTTTTGAAATTTGGAGCTTCAGACTAGGACAGCTGCAAATTACAAACTCCCAGGGAGGGCCATATTGTTTTTGAGAGCCTTTTGTCTGCGGTTTTGCAGTCTCAAACGAGCTGTCCCTGAACTCCTCCTTCCGGTCCTCCGTGTCTCTGAGCTACTCCGGCGTCTCTTAGCTTCAGTCTGCCACCTGTGAGCCGCGGCGCGGGCCACGGCTCCGAGAAGAGCCCCTTTTGTCCTGTGTGGTCCCTATAAGAAGTTCTCCTGGCGGGGCTCGGGGTGGTGGGGGCTGGGGAGATGAACGCTGCGGCCAGCAGCTACCCCATGGCCTCCCTCTACGTGGGTGACCTGCACTCGGACGTCACCGAGGCCATGCTGTACGAAAAGTTCAGTCCTGCGGGGCCTGTGCTGTCCATCCGGGTCTGCCGCGATATGATCACCCGCCGCTCCCTGGGTTATGCCTACGTCAACTTCCAGCAGCCGGCTGACGGTGAGTAGACGCTATATCCACAAATTCGTGAGATCCTAGGGGACCCTAGGAGTCTACCCCATGGAGGTGGGGAGCACAGGATGCAGGGGTTGAGAATGAGGATCCTGGCATCAGGTGACCGGAGTTTCAATCTCGCTTCCACTGCTTGCTAACTGGGTGACCTTGGGCTAATCAGTGGTGGCGGTGGGGTTGGAACCCAAGGAGACTGTAAAACGGGATTTGGAGGAAGTCACTGTCATTCCATTGTGTGCATGGTCCTGCTTTAGTGGGAACCTTGTCTGGTCAGTGAGTATGGGCTCCTGCCCCTCACAGGCCTGCCGAAAAGGCAGAATATCTGAAACACAATTCCTGCCAGAATTTTAGGTTCTAAAGCTGCTGCCATCTCCCCTACTTTGACCCTGGACTGAGTCTGTCTGATTTTGTGCTGATAAGGGGTCTTTCAGGGAAGGTAGGAAGCAGTGAGAACAATTCTGTTGGTTTTACTTGAGCAGGGACTTGTATTGGCGCCACCAGCGCTGCATGTGCCAGACCAGCTCCCGGGTCTCCGGCTTTGCTCCTGGGGTGGAAGGGTCCTTTACTCTCTGGACAAAGCCCTGAAGTGTGGAGAAAGGGTAGCCAGGTAGTCTGGGGAAACACTGTGGAAACTGACTGGGCTGGTGGGGATTATCGCCTCACCTGTGAACAGTGCCTTACCCTTGTCTAAACCCTTTTCCTTCATCCCATTTGAAGAAAATGGGACTCCAGAGAGGGCAAAGGGACCGCAGGAGGTGGGAGGCTCAGCTGGGACTGCCAGTGCAGTGCCCCGCCAGCCCAGACTGGGCCCTTGCTTGGAACAGTGAAGAGGTATGCTGCAGGCGTGGCCGGAGGGAGGCCAGAGGAAACCTAATCAGGGGCTGCACGTGACTTCAGATTAAAAGGGAACAACTGTAGACACCATTACTGGGGGAAACAAGCCATTCTGTGGCAAAGGATCTCTGGGTCCCTATTTTTGTCCACACTTTGTTCACTGTCCATGAAACAGAGAATGCCACTTGCCCGAACTGCAGCTGAGACCAGAGAGTTGGACTTGTTGAGAGACAACAGGCACTGATACCATCAATTCTATGTGCTCTGAGTTGTGTCTGGCCAGAGGGAGGGCACAAAGGTGGCCAAGTGTGGCCTTTTTAGGGGGAGTGGTGGATACATTGGCAGTTGCCTGCCTTTTTGACACTTTCTGAACAAAAGTCCTGTCACTTAGAGATAGTAGCAGAAGCCATTGGTCAGTGTGTCTGCCAACACATGCCTCTGCAGGACCTCTCCCTGCTATAAATAAGTGCAGCCAGATTTGTTAGGCTAAGCCGACTTGCCTTCTGCAGCACTGTCTGGAAAGACACTGAGGAGCTGTGTTGAAATGGCTTCTTTGCTGCTAATCAGTCAGACACAGTTTGGGGTCCTGGGCTGTGGATCGCAGAGAGCCATCACAAGTGACTGCTTCTGTGCCTGGACTTTTCCTGAGTTGGAGCTGCCCAGTCTCCCCTTTCTCTGACCTCTTTCCTTCCCAGAGTCAATGAGGCCACCTGAGAAGGTGGGAAGGGTGGTTGGAAAGGGGTGAAAAGGAGATACTCCCTTGGCTGACTGGACAGCTGAGCTTGTGGAGAGGCAGGGTTAGGGAATTTTGTCCCTGTTATAAGTGAGGTGGTTCCTTGAGACAGGAGAACTACCCCCCTGCAGTCTGTTCATGGAGGAGATTCTGGGGGTTTCATCACATAAGTCAGGAAAAGTGACCACCAGCTCTGGGAACTTGTCGCCAATAAGAGAAGCGTTCCTGCTGACAGGTGATGGTACGTTTTAGCTTCTGGTCCTTTTTGGTACACACATGGGTTTGTTGGGAAGCCAAAGAAGCATCCCAAAGCAGTGGATGGAAAACTTGGCTGAGCACCAGAGCACTTGAAGTCCGGAATTCCACAGAACTCAGATTAAGACTTCACAAGGCCCTGAAACCACTAGGTGCAGAGTCTACTACTGCACTGTGTGCTTAGGCAGAAAGATGCGGTTTCATCTTTATCATCCTGATGATAAAAATATTTCCATGTGTGACCATTAGTATTTATCATTTTGAGGCCTTTCGAATCTGTTTCTGTTCTCAGAAATTGAAAATACAAGAAAGTGGGCTGAAGATACAAGAAACGGATAGCACTATCTCCCCAGTCAGTTGTTCCCAGGTTTTGTTCTGTCACTTGTTTCCTAGACAGACAGATTGTAGACTAAATGACAGCTCGTTGGTAATTTGATGCAATATCTAACTGAAAAATAATCAGAAAATCTAGTATTAGTTTCTTACTCACTAGTTAGCTGCACGGTTTAGCCATCCTGGACATAAGTTTGCTCATTTTATGAAATAGATAATATCATAACTGTTCCACCTGTGTCACCATGGGTGGTCAGCAGCAGATCTTTATAACTGATAGAGCTCAGTCAAATGTCTGGAATTGTGACTTGATATTGGTGCCAGAAGGCCATTTAGATGCTCTCGCCTACCCCTTTTACACAACAAGGGTGCAGGTCCAGAGGGCTGGAGACTTGTGCCAGGAAGTGGGAGCAACTGGCCAGAACGTCTACCCTCACTGGCAACGCAGGCTGGAGGGATCTGATGCCTTTTAATTTTAATAGAGTTGCCTTTTATCACAGTGATTACCTTGAAAAGTCTTGGAGTCCTCTGTTCCTGGGATGGTGGCAGTTGTCTGCACGGAGTGATGCTTTATATCCTTGACCGAAATATGTTTCTCTCTTGCAGCTGAGCGGGCCTTGGATACCATGAACTTTGATGTGATTAAGGGAAAGCCAATCCGTATCATGTGGTCTCAGAGGGATCCCTCTTTGAGAAAATCTGGTGTGGGAAATGTCTTCATCAAGAATCTGGACAAATCTATAGATAACAAGGCACTTTATGATACTTTTTCTGCTTTTGGAAACATTCTGTCTTGCAAGGTAAGCATTGATTAAATGATTTCAGTAGAATAATCATTGACTCATGAAAACAAGATAAATACCAAATGGGGAGCAGCCTTGGAATTGGGCGATGGGATATTGGGCGATGGTAATTGGCTGGAAATGGCTCCAAAGGCTAAAAGTTCCCTGTAGATAATCTTGTGTCACAATCCAGTATAACCAGCAGGTGCTTTTGTTTCTCTGTTTATTCTTCCCTCTGCCTGAAATATCCTTTCTGTTTTCTACCTTTGGAGGGCATTGAAGAGTTTATCTTTTCTGGGGGGAGAAGTAGAGCAGTGCCTCTGGTCTCCAGGCAGCTATACTTAGTCATCTCAGAAGTATAAATTCATCCTCTTCCTTCCTTCCCTTTGCACCTGTTTTTGTGGAGAATTTAGTACAACTGGTGTGGTGGTGGTATCTGACTCCCTACTAGACTGAAATTGTATTGTGGGCTTGGCCATTGATCACTTTTTCTGCGGCACGGTGGTTTTGCACCCAGATCTCAATGTTTTTTTAATGAAATAAAACATTTGGACTGGAAGCAGCCTAATAGTGGCTGCCATTTGTAAATGGAACATCACTAGTTCCCTTGTAGTGTGCTCACTATTAGGAAAAACCTTATCTGCTGGAGTCTCCTATCTTTTGACTATGGATGGGCTAGCGGCCTCTCGGACACAGGAGACTCTGAGGAGAAGGTCATGTGGTTGTCAAATACCTGGAGATGCCAGTGGTGTTAAAGTCGCCCCCCCTTGTCTTTGACAGGTGGTGTGTGATGAGAACGGCTCTAAGGGTTATGCCTTTGTCCACTTCGAGACCCAAGAGGCTGCTGACAAGGCCATCGAGAAGATGAACGGCATGCTCCTCAATGACCGCAAAGTGTGAGTGTCCCAGTCCGGAGCAACAGCCATCGCATGAGCCAGCCGTGGCCCCACCTCGGTATTAACTGGCACACACAAGGCGGCTACTGGTTCTCTCGGCCCAAGTGTGGCCTGCTCCTACCTCTCCACTCCAGGGCTGGTGAGTCTCCCTGCCCGAGCCGTGGCAGCCCTTTTGACTCGCCAAGGTGGGCTTCCTGCCCAAGCCATGGCCTGCCTGCCGCCTCTCCCTCAAAAGCATCATTCGTCCGTGGGTTTTATGAGCATCGGCAACTGGGGCTTGCTAGAAGGCAGCTCTGAGCCCTTTCTGAGCAGGGGTCTTGGCCAGCGGCAGAGTGGAGAGGGCCCTGGACTGACCAGGAGCTGTGTACTAGCCATGTGACCTTGGCCTTCCTGTGATTCAGGTCTGTCCGTGGGGTCATTTGCTAGGAGTTGATGCCAAATTGTCCCCAGATCTCCACTTGGCTAACTTATGACTCAGTGGCCTTCTCATACAAGGCTGGCTCCACAGTAATGCTTAATTTGGTTATAATGAAAAAATCTGTGATTGCAGAAGACGCTGTTAATAGTAGACCTTCTCGCTTTGGTATGGTTATTGCAGAATGGGGACAAGAGAGTCTTAAGCCATTCAGGGAGACAGAAGGGACAATAAGTCTTGGCTATAACAAGCAAAAATCATTTCTGTCCTTTGTGTTGAACAGACTAGGGGATGGATTGCATTGATAATGTGTATGTGGCCAATGGTCAAGTCTTCCAAAGGTATCACTGGAAAGAGATCTAAAGATTTTCAGTGTGTGGATACATTTTCCCATTAAGTGCAAACACCAGAATGTGCCAAGTGCAAAAGCAAAGGCTACCTCATAGTTCACTCTAGCAATCTCACCCCTAGGATTAACCACTGTTAACAGTTTGGTTTGTATCCTTCCAGACCTTTTCTATGCATTTACATAGATGCACAGAAATGAACGTTTTAATAATGGTCACCAGGTTTCTTCATGAAGGCAGTGTGATGTGGTAGGAGTAGCCCTGGTCTGAGCCAGGAGTCCTGGGACTGATCCTTGCAGGACAGTCCTGCCTCTCTCTTTCTGCTGGGGAGTTGGGGCATCTCTGAGCTTGCTCTCTTGGTGGTTGGATGGGGACTTGTGTGTTTTAACCTCTCCTGTCAGTCTTTAACCTGTATTCCTTTGGGCCCCTGGAAACCTGATTTGTTCTTCTGGGTAGTCACTGTTTCCTATGATTTCTTTTTAGGTTTGTGGGCAGATTCAAGTCTCGAAAAGAGCGGGAAGCCGAGCTTGGAGCCAAAGCCAAGGAGTTCACCAATGTTTATATCAAAAACTTTGGGGAAGAGGTGGATGATGAGAGCCTGAAAGAGCTGTTTAGTCAGTTTGGTAAGTTGGGCTTCTTTGCCCCATGTGCCCCCTTCCACAGTTCACCAGACCTAAAACGTGTGGATCTTAGTTGTTTAAGAGACAAGGGCACCTAGGCCCAGAAGTAAACTACCTTGTGTGACAGGGTCACAGAGTAGATAGGAATAGACTCTTGGCTTTATCCTACCTTGTCCCAGCCCCAGGGCCTTTCCAGTAGCTTGGTCAGAACTAGAAGACCAGGCACCGCGCCTCTTTCTGGACCCCATCTGGGTTCAGCAAGAATTGGCTTCATTTGGACACTTAGAGAAGCCTTCTCTCCTTGAGCTGCAGTAGAGATGGTGTTACTAATAGTTCTGTCCTTTGGTAATAGGTAAGACCCTAAGTGTCAAGGTGATGAGAGATCCCAGTGGGAAATCCAAAGGCTTTGGCTTTGTGAGTTACGAAAAACACGAGGATGCCAATAAGGTGAGAGTACCACAAGGGTCGGGGAGAAATTTTCAGGAAGTGGCCCCTGAGTGTGGTCAGGCCTGGCTGGTAAATAGAGTAGAACTGGAATTGCCCGGGTACCGTAGTGATGCAGTTACTGGCCTGAGGGACTTCACATGGTAATACATCATTTACCTGTTCCCAAAGCACCGGGCATGTAGCCTGTCACCTCAGCTGTTCGGCCCTGTAGGTTGAAAGAGTAGGATGGATGTTTGCTTCCATTCATAGTGAGGGGACTCCGTCTTCCCTCAGGAGTTGCTGACTTGATAACAGGGCAGCAGCTATTTTTGTAGATAAAGCATGGTGCTGGCCCTTGACATACATCACTCACTGCCCACAAGAGAACCTGAGAGACTTAGCTACAGCCAGATTATCAGCCTTGGCTCATGTCTGCCATGCTTGTATTTATAAAACTACCATTTTTTTTTCCTGTATCATATGGACCAATAATCCATTTAAGTAGTAACCCCCTTTTACTCATGAGGAAGTTTGGATTTGCTTAGCTGGCTTCAGAAATGGAATTAAACTAGTTTTTAACCCTGTAGGAAAGATTTCCTTCTCTCCGAATGTTTGGTGGGACTTTGAGGCCTCCAGGGCAAGGGCCCAGCCTCTACGTCTTGGTTTTAAGACCTGTGTTTCCTCTTTAGGCCGTGGAAGAGATGAATGGAAAAGAAATCAGTGGGAAAGTCATTTTTGTAGGCCGCGCACAGAAGAAAGTGGAACGGCAGGCCGAGTTAAAGCGGAAATTTGAACAGCTGAAGCAAGAGAGAATTAGTCGGTATCAGGTGAGAGGTGGTCTCAGCACAGCCTCCCCACTGAGGGTTTACTGTGCAGTCCCGACAAGAGTGCCTTTCTGTTTATCAGCCTTTCTCTTTGGGAACTGGGAAACTGCCTCTTCCTCTCCTTTCTCCCAAGATCCCCAGGTTTGGAAGGATATACTTACCAGATACAGCAGTGATTCTAGAACAAGGGCAAAAGAGATTGATGTATTATTTAGGGACTCACTCCCGGAAGCCTCAGTCTATTGTTCTTAGTCATGTGGGTTCTTTTTACTTAAATGATTGCCTTTTGTTGGAATGGTGGCAAGAGCCTTGCTGGGGACAATGGTCAGAGCATTCCAAACCCTTATTGAGGGTCCCTTCAGAAACTGCGGCAGGAGTCTCAACCCTGAGCCTGCATCAGAGTCCCCTTTAGGGCTTGTGAAAGCATGGCTTTCTGAGCCCCAGAATTTCTGGGGTCCTGGTCTGAGAATTTGCTTTTCTAAGAAGCGTCCAAGGAGGTGGTTGCTGCTGGTCTGGGGACCACATTTTGAGAACCAATGTCTCAGGGCATCTATAGGGTACAGATGTGCATTAACTGTGGCCCCTCTGCTTCAGGGAGTGAATCTCTACATTAAGAACTTGGATGACACCATTGATGATGAGAAGTTAAGAAAAGAGTTTTCTCCTTTTGGATCAATCACCAGCGCTAAGGTATTTTATACTGTGGTTTGGAGATCGAAAGTAGAAATTGTAATTTTTTTTAATTTCATTGAAGGAGTGGAATCTAAATTGTGTTCGTTGCTGAAAATAGCTATCACATTCATCTAGCATAATTCCTCCTGGTCTCCAATATTACGCATCTGAGTATGTGCTCTGGAGAATGGAATTTCATTAGGTTAAATGGCACCATCTCTCCCAGGCACTGAGGTATGGAGGTGAATCTGAGCAGTCCCTCCTGCCAACGCCCCTCAAGCACCTGAATCTTTCCCATTCTTTGCTGCTTTGTGCTGGTGTGGGGACAGATGGTGCAACAGTATGAGCAGAGGAAATCCAGACGGGTTGTTTTCCATTTGTCTTGGGGCCTGTCTCTACAACTCTGCCACACACTTTGTCCTTGAATGAAGGTGTTTGAGGACTTGGGAGCTGGGGTTAGGAACTTCTGTCCTGGCCTTATAAAAGCTAAAGGTACACAAAGAGGAGTGGAAAGATGACTCTTCCACATTTTGCCATGTGTGTCGTCTGCTTGGTGGTGTTTGATAGTCCTATCAACTGATACAGCAGGGTGAGTGAGTATGAACCCCCTTGTGGAGATAAGGAATTGGAGTCCTTGAGCATGAGTACACTCGTTAGAGGATGGTGTGCCGCACGTCCTTGGTCCGTGGGGGGGGTGTGATGGCAGTGGATGGCGTGTGAAAGTTTTGGGTTGTAGCCTTGAGGCACACGCTGTTCCTGCTCAGCAGAGGTGCAGCAGGTGTCAGAGTCTTTTCAGGGATGAGAAAGAGGCCAAGTGGTCTGGTAAAAAGACTTTGGTGTGACCCTGTCTTGGCCCTTAGTTTAAGTCGTGCACAACCTGAGAGCGTTGTCAAAGGAACATTATCAGTTGTAGCAGAGTTGACCAGAGGCCACCCTGTCGGGTTCCTTGTTTCCTTGGCCCTTTCCTCTTATCACTTCCTTCACTGGCCTTCCATCAGTGTGAAGAATGATGGTCTCTCCTTGCTTATCAGCACAGTGCTTAAGTTGGCAGGAAAAGAACAAAAGAACCAGGTCTTTCAAGTTTCACAGCCCCTGTTTTCAAGATCAGGGTGTCATGTTTTCATACACCGTGTTGGCCCATCTCATTGGTAGAAAGATGTTGGGTTGATATACATCCTTACTCTCATGTCCTCCACCTCAGGAGGCTGTCCAGGCAGCGAGCTAAGACACAAAATGGTGCCAAGCATACCTCGTCCTGTTGCTACCGATCATTTCTGAGGATGTAGACCAGGGAAAGCAATAAGTCACCTTCTCAGGTGAGGATAAAGAGCTATCCATGAATGACTAGCTGTATGTGGGAAGAGAACCAGTAGACATGTGGTTTTGTGGTAGTTTGCCTTAGAGGTCATCATGGACATTGAGGCTCACAGAGGGCAAGTAAATGTTAAGGTCACGCAGCTTAGAGATTAGAGTTGGGACGAGAATCCCAGCTGTCTCTCCCAGCTGGCCATCTTTCTGCTGTTGGATTAATGGTGGTGGTCATTGGTTTTGTAATTCCTGCCCGCATGTGGTAATTCAAAACCATATCCTAACCTTGATAAGCAATGATTAGGGTTTTGTGCACCAAGGTCTTGAGCAGATGAGTTCTGCAAGTAAATAGCTGGACACTGCCCAGATTTCTAGTGGGCAGCCAAAGGTAGCTATGCTTCAGGTATCAGGAAACATCTTTTGAGTTCCTGGTTTAACCATTAGCTATGTCATAGTGTTTGGAAACTTTAGGATCACCCGGAGATCTAACAAAGTGAAAATGCCTAGGTCCTGTCCTTAGAGGTTGTGACTTAATTGGCCTGTGGGACATCCTGGCACAAGGCTGAGAACCCTTATCCTACACTTGGGGACTCTTGCGGCAGGACCCAGGGTTTTTGACTCTTAATAGCTGTCCCCCAACATAGAACACTTTTTCCTTAAGTAGCTGGTCCCTTTGTAGGTAATGTTGGAGGATGGGAGAAGCAAAGGGTTTGGCTTTGTCTGCTTCTCATCTCCTGAAGAGGCGACCAAAGCGGTCACTGAGATGAATGGACGCATCGTGGGCTCCAAGCCGCTGTATGTCGCCCTGGCCCAGAGAAAGGAAGAGAGAAAGGCTCACCTGACCAACCAGTATATGCAGCGGGTGGCTGGAATGAGAGCACTTCCTGCCAATGCCATCTTAAATCAGTTCCAGCCTGCAGCTGGTGGCTACTTTGTGCCAGCAGTTCCACAGGTGGGTCTGCTTGTGTTCATGCATCTTTGGAACCTGCCCCCTGACAACTGCTCCGGCAGCCTGTGGTGGTGGGGGAGAGGGGTTTTGGATATTGGAGTTCAGACTGTTGGAGTTAGGACCCATGAAAATGAAGATATTTCTCTTCTCCCTCCCTCTTCCTTCCCTGCCCCGCACAGAGTTAAAAGAATCCCCATTAACTGGCCTTGCGGC